AATTTATAGTGTATATGGTGTTGAGTATGTTGTTGGTGGGACAAAAATAGGAACTTCAACAATGTTGCGTCATTTGTTAAAGTGTGTGGTGCTAAAAAAATTAAAAGATAATGATGTGGGGAAAATGATAATTGATCATGCTAGGAAGTTAAGGTTTAGGGAAATTGACCAAAAAGTTGTAAATGATCTTATTTTAATGGCTATTATTCAACATGGGTTGCCATATAATTTTGTTGAATATAAGTGGATTAGAGAATTGCTTATATATCTAAACCCAGAAGTAAGAGTTCCAAGTAGGAATACAGTCATGTCTAATATTTCAAAGAAATTCCATAAACACAAAGAGAGGGTGAAAGTTGCAATGCATAAATCTCATGGCCGAATTTGTTTGACATCTGATTGTTGGGCTTCTATAACTCACTGGTCATGATTTGGCACAAAAATTTTTTGCTTTGTTGCTTGATTAGGGAATAGATAGGAATATATTTTTTTATCACATTAGACAATGCTACTGCCAATGAGGTGTTGCAAAAAAATTTGAGTGAGCAATGGAAATTGCAAAATAATTTGATATGTAATGGTGATTACTTTCATATAAGGTGTAGTGCACATATCTTTAATATTATTGTGCAAGAGGGCTTAAGGGTGGCTTCTAATGCTTTGCACAAGATTAGAGAGAGTATTAAGTATGTGAAAGGATCAAAGGCAAGAAAAATTGCATTTAAAGAATGTGTTATTAAAGTGAGGGGTATTGATACAAAAGTAGGTTTGAGAATGGATGTTGCTACTAGGTGGAATTCTACCTATCTTATGCTTGAAAGTGCAATTAGCTATCGACGTGCCTTTGGAAGCTTAGCTATCCGTGATAGAGCTTATGTTCATTGTCCATCAAACGATGAATGAAAAAGGGTTGAAAAAATGTGTGAGTTCTTGAAGCCATTTTATGTCATGACTAATTTGATTTCAGGTTCATCTTACCCAACTTCTAATTATTACTTCATACAAGTTTGGAAAATTGAATGTTTGTTGTAGGAAAATCCCAAAAGTGATGATCTGAAAATTAAAGATATGACATTGAATATGATGAACAAGTTTAATAAGTATTGGGATCATTATTGTGACATTCTTGCTATTGAGGCTATTCTTGATCCTTGAATGAAGTTTGAAGTTATTTGGTTATGTTGTTCAAAGATTGATCCTTCTACATGTGAAGAAAATATTAATATTTTAAAGGAGAAGATGTACAAGTTGTTTGAAGAATATGTCAAATTACATTTAAATGATCAAATACTTCAAGTTCTCAAACTTTCCCTCCAACACAAGTTGCTTCTTTTACGAATGATGAGCAAGTGATGGATGTATTTGATGTAAGTTTTTAATTCTCAAATTTTTCAACACAACTTGCTTTATTTTATTTACATCTTATTTCTTACTTATCAATGACATTAAAATTCTCTTATTATGTCGTAGGAATATGATGATTATTTGAGTCAACATGTTAATGAAATTGAAAGGTCTAAATTGGATCTTTATTTAGATGAAGGGAATCTTGACCCAAAGTTTTTTGATAAGTTGGATGTATTAAGTTATTAAAGGGATCAATGAGATCGTTATCCAAATTTATCTAAGATGGGTTGCAACGTGCTTAGCATTCTAATCACTACAATTACTAGTGAGTCTGCCTTTAGTCTTGGTTCTCGTGTGCTAACCAAATACTGTTCTTCCGTTCTTCCGGAGAATGTTGAGACACTCATTTTAACTCAAAATTGGTTGCATGATTTTGAATTAACATGTAACATTTATTAGTACTATGAAATTAATTTAATAATTTATTACTTAATTTTTCATCATTATTAGTTAACATTTTTTTAATTGTAGATGGGGATAAAGAAGATGCTTCAACAGATGAATATATTTTGGATTGTTCCATTCAAGACTCTAACGTTATAGATGGACAAGTGACAACAATGATTTAATGTCGGATTGTAATTTGTAATTTTTATGATTTTGGATTGTATTTGAAGTTTAAGATGATTTTGGATTTTATTTGAAGTTTAATTTGATTTTGGATTATATTTGTCTATTTGAGATTATTTAGATTTTATTTGATTGTATTTAGAATTATCATTTAATGTTTGAGATGAATGATTCATTTATGGATGTCTTAATTAAGAATATCATATTTTTAAAATAGGTTTGAAATTTTTGGACCTTAGTTATATATTAAGAAAAAAAATGAAAAAAAATTATATATATTTTTAAATTAGGTGATCCAACCTGTTTAACCCACTAATCCGTGATGGGTCGGATCGAGCTAGACTGGATTGCTCATTTTGACAGCTCTAATTGGTACTAATGTACCCCAAAAGTACTTCAAGAAATAAGTGTACATAGAGATCATTTGTTCATAATACAAAATGTATGTTTAACATGCCCAACAATCTCTTACTCAAATCTTGGCCTTACTGCATTTATTTCCTCCATCAACTTTTCTATCATCAACCTTTCTCCGTTCAAATCTGTATCTTCTCTCCAACTTAGCTTGCATTCCTAATAGATATTTCCCACCATACACTTCTATTGTTCTATGTTCAGATATAGCCTACCATATTTTATTCTCAAACCTTCTCCTCCCAACCATTTGTCCTCCAAAAACATAATTTTTTCCATCTCCATTTTTTCACATTATATTTTTATCAAGCCAATTTTCTTGATCACCCATTTGACAAATCTTTCCTAAATCTCTCCACTGCATTGAACCCTTCCTTAAATATTTGATCAGGTGGTAATATAAGTAAGCATTAAGGCAACAAACTAACAATGTATTAGAAATGCACAATTAACTTTATTTGCTAATGTTGAGGGTAAAATATTTTTTTCATTCATAGAAATTACAATAATAACGATAAAATTTGATATCTTAATCAACCGATAATAAATAGAAAAAATAAAATTTCAAAAAGATTATAAATCAACATATGTAAGAATTTTGAATGATAAAAAATGTTGCCTCTTACTATTGGTTAAAGTTAAATAATTTGCATCATTTGATTCATGTATTTAGTGAATAGTAATTAACTATAATTTAATGTATTATCTAACAAATTTATTTGTACAAAATAACACTTAAGTAATAATAAAGGCAGAATGATCTTTATATAAGTAAAGTAAGGATTATTTAAGAGAAAAAAATCCTTAAATCCTTTTTTATATGGAAACCGAGAATCAAGCCTTGAAAATGGATGTTCAACAAACTTCTGTGGTTGTAGTTAGGTGCTCCTATATGGAAACCGTACACGTTACAAAATAAGAATCAAAGTGAAAGTGTGTATTTTCTTAAGCAAGCTAGCATCAATGGTGGATGAAAAAATCATCTACAAACTTACACGATATATATAGAGGAGAATTCTTACTCTTAGATCCAATAGTGTTGTTGAAACACCCATGCATTTTCCCGAAGCCATGAATTGGAACAGAAACGGTGGAACATCCTACAACTAAAGACTATAATGATTATTAGTCTCCTCAATTGGCTGGCTCCGTACGAGGTTTACCTGCAGGTTGATCGTTTTGGATGTCATATACTTGGTGAAACTCCAACGTTGATGCAAACTTAAATTGTACAAAAAAGTACATGCAATATTATATTCTAATTTAAATGAAATTGTGACCTACATACCTTTATGTAGGAAGACGATTTGTATTATTATCATTACTTTTCATTAAAGATAAAATATCATTCTCATGTTTTACTTTATGAGATCTCTGGAGGTACTTGAGTAGAAATATCACGCACTTTGTGGAAATGTTAATTATGTAGATTTTATTTGAGTCATAAATATACTACTATATTTAATGTTGAAAAAGAGAGTTTTATTGATATGATATTTTTATTTAATTCAAATAAAATTGTCTCTGATAAAAAGTATACGTGATATATAAAAAAAAAGTGTAGTAGGTTTTGATAACATTTGAGTCAAAAGGAAAGTGGTGAAAATAATAAGCACGCAACCCACCATGATCTGGTCGAAAATGATTTGGGTTTATTTGGAAGTTCAATTTCAAAGGTTGATAATAGTGACAGGGGAGTAGGTATAGGCAAAAATGAAGTTAAAATTTTCAAAGTGTTGGTTTACATCCACAAATATGAGAGGGGTATCTAAAGTCACCAACCCAACCTTTGAATAGAATTTTCCTTCACTCGTAGCTAGCGCGGTTGGTGATGGTTTCCATGTCATGGTGGCTGGTTCTTCACACTTGATACCAACCACTGAGTGTTACGTTTTACTACTACAACCAACACTACATGCTACACGTGTTTTATTTTATTTTGGTATTAATCCAATACTCTTGTTGTCAGCTGCTTAAATTCTTGACACCCTTTGTCTCTTCCCAGATTGATGATTGAAGAAATGGGATTTGACCATATACTTTGCTCATCAAGTTGATATAACAGTTGTAACGACACCCAGAAAATTGAAGGCTAGAAGTGAGTATTTTTTGCACCAAAAATAGCAAATTAAGTGTGTTACAAGATTATATGTAGATAGATTATAGTGTTATTCTTGGTCTCTCATTTATTTGAGTTAGTCAAAAACAAATAATTATTTAAGCACTCAGAGTCTTTCTATATATTACTATAATTTTAAAGATAAAATTTAGGTACAGTTGGTTGTTCTTAAAAAAAATTAAAATTTTATCTTTGATATTATGCATTTATATTTAATATAGGTTTCATTAATATACATTATTGAAGTAAAATTCTAACACTAATTAAAGAACAACACCAATCACGTTTAAATAAATGTAACTAAATATTATCTTAATTTTAATCGGACAAAATAGAATAATCCTTTTTGATATTGTAACTTGTACGTTAGGTAGAAAGTTGCGGGCCATTAGTTTTATGGAATGTCATAATTAAAGCCCAATCAAGTGCAATTGTCACAGCCTGTATTCATTGGGCACCCAAGAACACTATTAATATTTAATATTGTTGGGTGCATAACTTTTTTTTGGGTCAAATTATAAATTAACTATCTCAATTCTCAACCACATTTATTTTATTATTATAATGGACCTTGAAAAAACTTTTCATAAATTATCCTGCACTGTACTTTATAAATCACTCAGTTGAACCTTGTAGAGTTAAGTAATGGTGTACACATTTTATAGCACGTTTATTTGAACTTAAATTTAGAATTAATATTATTTTTAAAAAAGGTCTGGGAGGGAAGAGGCTAGAGCAGAAGAGGCAAAGGCATAGAAGGGTGAAAGCTACCCGGAATCTGTCTCCTCCTGCCAACCTTGTTCCTCCAGTGAGGCTCCGCCACGTGTCGAACTCCAAGCACCCTGGCAAACCCAACATAGCCCAAGGCCTCAGCGATCTGCAACGCCGTAACGCCCTTGCTCGTCCTGGCCTCCACGTCCACCCCTCGCTTCACCAAAACCTCCGCCACGTCAGCATGCCCCGCCTCCACCGCGCAGTGCAGGGCGCTGTACCCCTCCTCATCCCGCGCCTCCAACTCTATCCCCTTCTCCAGCAGCGCCCTCACCGCCTCCACGCGCCCCTTGAAACACGCCCTGTGCAACGCCGTCCACCCGTGCTGGTCCCTCCCGTTCACCGCCGCCCCACTCTCGATCACCCTCTCCATGCTCCTCACCTCCCCCTTCCTCGCCGCCACGCACAGCCCGTCCCCCAGCCGCAGCGCGTCCAGCACGCGCGTCGCCCCATTCTCCACCGCCACGTCATACGCCGTCTTCCCTAGGTAATTCCTCACGTCCTTGTTCGCCCCCTTCTTCAACAGCAACTTCACCATGCTCTCGTCCCCCATCCCCGCTGCCACGTGGACACACGTGTCGCCATCTCGCGAGTCGCGAATATCCAACCTCGCATTGTTCGCCAACAACAACCTCACGCACTCTCTCTCCCCTCGCTTCACCGCCACGTGTAACGCCGTCGTTCCGTCCCTGCTCAACGAGTCAACGTCCGCGCCTTTTAGCAACACCAGCCTCAAAACCTCCACGTGTCCTTCCCTCGCTGCCAGATGAATCGCTCCAAACGCTGATGATTCCTTTCTCTCCGTCGTTGCCTTGTGAGCTAGTAGAAGCTCCACGATTAATTCCTCCCCCGAGGAACACGCCGATTCTAGCGGACTCAAACCGGAACGGTTCGCTGCTTCTACGTCCGCGTTGAATTCCAGGAGTAACTGAACCAGATCGGGTCTGCTTCGGGAGATTGCCACGTGGAGGAGCGTGTCACCGTTGGGGTCAACGGAGTCAACGGCCTTCCACGTGGGGTCGCTGTGTTCCAGGACTTCCCTGATTTCGTCCATGGACCCGTCTTGGACCAACTGGGCCAGGACGAGCGACCCCACGAAGAGGATTCTGATGCCGCTGTCGATGAACACTTGTTTCTTTTTGGCCGTGAACCACTCGCTGGGGACCGACTCGAACATGGAGGAGGGCTCTTTCACGGTGGCGCCGGGAACCACCACGCTGTGGAGGAGAAACGAGTCCTCCGAGTGGGGGAACGAGTGGGGGAGAGTGGACCCGCCTGGGAGACTGTAGACGATCTCGATGCTGATTGTTGCTAGAGGCGATATGATTCCCGAGTGGGGCTTCACCGTGTACCGCGTCTTGATGAGTGGCTGAAGGCGGAACGCGACGGGCATCGTGTACATGACGTTGCGAAGGGTGATTTTGCCCTGGCACTTTTGCCCTGCTTCGATTCTTATTGGGACCGTGTTTGTTGGGTCTACCTTTATGAGCCTGTCCATCGTATCTTGCTTCCTTCACCTGTGGGTGGGTTTTGGTTTTGAAGGAAAAGCCATGAAAGCAAATCAAGTGTTTGGGAGTTATTTAGGGGTGTGAGGGGCCGGCTTAATTTTCTAAGAACCTGCCAAGTGTTGCTGTAAAAAACAATGGTGACTTGTTCTATTCGGCGTCTCTTCCATATCCAACCAAACCACACTTGTGTAAGTTTAAAGGATTATAACCCATCTTTGTCCTCTTTCTGCATGTCACTCTCATTCCAAACCCCCATTTGTTCTTAAACCACACTTTTTCTTTTTATTAATTATCCTGACGCATGCTATATTCGTATATATATATGCTCATAATATAATATTATATATGAACAAAAATTAGGTAAGGTTTCTTTACGCGCGGTTACTGTTCTTCATCAATCAGGATTATTAGAGTTTTATGTCACTAGTATATATGCACAAATGTATGTATATTACTTACATTATACCCTAAACTCTAAATCTGAGATAAAACTTCTATTTTGATCAAAGAATAATAATAATGCATTAAAACTGTAATTAAGTTTTTTCTTAATATTAATTATAAAGCTGTTTTTTCTTTCTTTCATCACATTAATTATTTTTGTTAGAGCACAGAAAAAGTCTTGCATTCTTAGAATAAAAAGAAGAATATGAATTTATATGTACATGAGTGTCTATATTTGTAAGAGAGATTTTTTGAGTTAAGACTAAAAAGTAAATTTACGAGGGTTAATTTAATATCAAAATAGATAATATTAGAACATTTTAGAAACATGTGTGTAAAACTTTCCATGCAAAATAAATAGTATTAATTAGAGTTAATTATTTAATTAGGAGACATATCTTATTGATGCAAAAGTATTTGTAGCTTTCTGTATATGAAAGAGTAGTATTTAGCGTGGAATTCAATCGGTTAGACTCGAATAATATTACAGTGTTGTATGGCTGTTTGTTGCTGCAAGAATGCAAGTAAAAATCTGTTGCTGGTACGATGCTGTTTTGATTCAGTTTTTTAATCTTCTATCCTTGTTCTCTATGTATTCGGAAAGTCATATATGTTTGAAAGGACAATTGTTTATGACATTAGGTCTGGCTGTTTGGGAAAACATTCTGGTGTGAAGAACAAGAAATGCAAATTTTATATATTAAGTCTGAGTGATCAAGGTAGGGTTTTGGCGGCATTTTCGTTTACTTGGCCAACTAAGGTGACATCCTTTAACTATTAAATACTCTAATGTTGCTTTCTTCTTTGTATTACTTGTTGGAATTTTCCTTTTCTTACTGCATGCGATGGCCGAGAATCCTTAAATCTGATTCCTGCTTGCCATTTGCAATCACACCCTCATTCTTTGCAATTTTTAAATTTGGGTAGGTGAATATATATATTTAACCCTACAAGTGCGTTAAGAGATATCAAATTTGATATTTTTCAAATTAATTAGAAAACATGCATAAACGATTTCTTTACAGAGATAACTACTTCAGTATATTTCTTTATACTATTTTCTGCAAGCATGAATACTCACTTCATGGTTTTCCCTTCATCTCTCTGAATGGTTAAGGTCGTTAGAATATTTTTCGTGTTATTCCAGATGTACATACATTGATGACTCAATTTTCAACAATTTATAATGGGCTTAACAGGCAATTTAGCAAACTAGATAATATGTTTTCTCAATATGACATGCTCAAAAGTCAAATACGCTTGATTTATCTATTGTCTTGTCATTCCCAAAGCTTTTTGAGTTTTAATTGGCTGATGAGATATAAAAGCTCCTCTCCCTGTCACAATCACAGTCGCTCTCTGCATTAACTGGAAGCTGCGAAATCCATTTCATTGTTGTGAGAGTGATACTATATGTAACTGCTTCGGTTTGATTAGTAGTTCTTATTTTAACGTATTTTATGGTGAAAGACAACAAAATGGTATAAGAAACAAACATTATATCTTCTTGTCGAGGAAAATATATGGAAAATAGAATATTCTTTGAGAACGATATTCTCTTATTACCAACGAGCTAAACAATGGTCTTAATGGACAGTTGGAAAATGGGTGAATCAAGTAGTCATGAATAGGGAGTAAAAAACTTATAGCTTGTTCGGATTATTTTTTCTTGGTACTTATAGCATGTTCGAGTTTTATTGCATATGGTTTCAGCAGAAGTTTATAATAGCTCTTTTAACTTCGTCTAAGTGTGTATGTAATTTACCTGATCTTTTAAAAATATATAATTACTTATTTATAAGATTTTTAAAAATAAAAAGTAAAGTATAATTTCTTCTAAAATATTCACTTTCAAACACAAAATTAAATCATTATTTTAAAATTCTAATATGACATCCAAACATACTATAATGTCGATAGTTGTATGTAAAAAAGAAAATGAGTAAGTATCATATATTTCATATCAATTATTGATATGGTCAAAATATTTTTAATATCTCACATTGATTAATAATTTGATCAAAATGTAGTAAATAAGGGGAAAACAATTCTTATTTTGCAAGGTGATTTTGTAAGGTAAAGTTATACTAACTTTACCTTCTTAAAATAGTATCATAATAATATTTCGTTAGAGTTCATCCGAACATACTATAATGTCGATAGTTGTATGTAAAAAAAGCAAATGAGTAAGTATCATATATTTCATATCAATTATTGATATGGTCAAAATATTTTTAATATCTCACATTGATTAATAATTTGACCAAAATGTAGTAAATAAGGGGAAAACAATTTTTATTTTACAAGATGATTTTGTAAGGTAAAGTTATACTAACTTTACCTTCTTAAAATAGTATCATAATAATATTTCGTTAGAATTCATCTTAACAAAACTAAACAATGGTCTTAATGGACAGTTGCAAAATGGGTGAATCAAGTAGTCATGAATAAGGAGTCAAAAAACTAAACAATGGTCTTAATGGACAGTTGGAAAATGGGTGAATTAAGTAGTCATGAATAGGGAGTAAAAAAACCTAAACAATGGTCTTAATGGATAGTTGGAAATTTCATATAATTTTTCCACGGAATTTTTCGTCAAAAATTATAATTTTTTTTTAATTTTAATAAATTTATTAATGTAACAACCCTCATATTTGGGTTCTCAAGAGTTCTATTTCACAATATTTCACTGTTTAGCGTGTTTTATCCTTACTTGTGCAATTTCTGAGAGACTTCCCGAACGTTAAGCACGCTTAACTGTGAAGTTCTGATGAGTAAGCTACATTCTTGTTTTTAATAAAAAAAATTCTAAAAAAATGCTTCTATCTTATATTTAAACAAGTTTATACATTATTTTTCATTTTTGAATTCTTATCAAAATTACTTATCGGAGAACACTTTCCTTAGTCTCTTTCTGACTCATACCAAAACCAGAAATTATACTCAAGCTGATGTGCCAATGTGCAAAAACCAACATAGGGGACTGCTTCCTACCTTAATGCTCAAAGTACCCTATCACGTACACATATATAAAAGATGATATTGTACTAGAAAAAGTTAAAATTAAGCTTTTCTGTAGGGGAAAATTTTCCTCTTATAAATATGATATTAAAAACAATTGTCTTATCCTATTAAGGTCAAATTTCATAATATACATTTATGGAGGAAAAATATAAGAAATTTCATAAGCTTATTTTTTTTTTCCATATAAGTGTTTTTTAAGAATGAGAGAATTTATAACAGAGTAATAGTTGATAGTGTATTTTAAATTAAAATTGAATGGTAAATATTATACTTAGTGGAGTACAAGGCTTGTATGATAGCTTGGAGGAGGATACTTACAATTGGAAGTTTGAGAGCTTATTTATAGTGTGTGTAAGTTGGTAATTCTAGAGTTTTTATAGTTTAATATTTTTTTATAGAATTATCTCAAATCCTAATACTTATTTCTAGACTTTTCTTACGATTTTTGAAATTTGTAATATGTTTTGACATCCTTCCTTGATACAAATTTCAGAAACTTTTGAACATATATAGTTTGTAATTTGTTCTTTTGTCTTATAATATTTGAGTTGAATTTGCTTTGTTAGATGTATTGCAAGTTTCATAGATGTTTAGATCTCTTTCCATTTCTTGAATTTCTTCTTGAGGTTGTTGTACTGGAACGAAAATGTTTCTAACAACTTTTTCTTCTTCCCATTTTCAAAGAGAATTTTTATCAACCTCAACATCTCGACTAATGTT